TAAAGTGTTCTATTTGCTTGCGGTTGTCACAAGATATCTATCTACGGTCACAAGTGACGGCTTATTTAGAAGAAATTTTATTTGTCATAAAGAAATAAATGCAAGATTGTGACAAGCCGACATGCGTCTCGCAATATGAAGAATAATTTTATCGCCTTTTCAACTCAAGCAACCGAAGTAATGTCCACCAGCGTCGAACATTTAAACACTGTTTTGAACAAAGTACAGTCTCCTACTTCAGCTCCGTTTTTACTAGTAAGTGCGAAGCGCATTCTTGCATTAGTATTCATTAACAGTCTCATTCTTCAATGATTCAACTCTTTCTCCAGTTTCTTACTACGTTGACTTTTACATATTTATATGATACTTAATATATGACATTTGAGTTTTTGGTAAGTGCTACGATGTATCATATTCAAAGTTGTGGCTGCCCTGAGTTTCGTTCTTACACTCATAAAATGAAGTATCTTCTTGCATAAACAAACATTTTTCGAATAATAGTAATACCCTAAGAAAGAGGAATTGACCTACTTAGAGTTTATAGAAAGACAGCTGTTTTATGAGATCTCACTTTTGGAGTGAGGCGTTAATGTTCGCTAATTTTTTTGCTCGACCCTAATAGAAGATGAGCTAACGTCATTACTCGCTAGCCTTTTAGTACATTTTTAAGCACCTTTGATTATTTCCTCAAGATCTGCAACGCTTTGCTGGTTCCTTACCTAAAATGGAAACGCAAATTGTGACATATGCGCTAAGTGATTACTAACGTGATGAGATTATTGAAGCACACCTTTTTTACAGCCACATTGTTCTCGATTTTGAGCAGCAGCTCTCATGGAGCAACTTGCATTGCTTTCCCTCTGAGGAGTACGATAGTAATCACACTGTGCATGTATCGCATTTTGCGTTCCTTTTCAGATACAGAACACAGCAGAAATTGTGAACAAGCCTTGAATTTTTGAGCAGCAGTTTTTGGATTTGCAAAACCAAACTTCTTCCGCGCAGTAAGCAGTTGAGCGACCTATCGAATTGCATATTTGCTGCATTGTTCGCATTGCAGTTCCACTTACAACGCAGGAGCAATCAGATTTAGGAACGATTTTTTGGAAGCCATAATCGTAACGAAGCGAAATTTTGTGTAAATAGATATAGGTGATTTTCAAACCGTTTTAAATATGTAACTTGAAAGCAATCCAAAAAAAATTTACAAGATAGAAAGTACCAGATTGATACGACATATGAGAGCTGCTATGTTTTTTAATAGCTGCACAATAGGAGATATGATTGTGATATAAGATGAGGACGTCGTGTCCTAATTAGAGATAAAAAGGCTTTTGAAGAGTTAGGAATTTTCGGGTTTTCAAGTTGAGTTTCTTTTGATGTGGAGAATCAAAATTGTTCCTTTTTTTCTTTTTTGTGAGAGAGCCAGAAAATATTAGAGTTTAAGCAAAGTAAATCATTTTTCTAGTAAAGATTCAACAATGAATTGTTTGCTTATGCAAGGTAACTGTTAGAATACGCTTATAATGCACAAATGCAGAGTGAAATATTAATTTGATGCACTACAGGTAAACTGAAACAACAATAGCAGAAAGCATAGTAGCTGTTATCATACTTACTTAAATATTTTAGATGACTGTCTTCCCTCGTCGTAAAGGCCCCAGCATTGTTTATAACCGTTTCTTTCTCTCGGTAGAGTCATTGATGAGTTGGTATTGCGACGGTGGTTTGCAAGATCCAGACCCAATAATCTTTTAATAATAAGCTGGGAATTCAGCTGGTCGATCTGTGCCACGAACACGTCAGCCCATCTGGCGGGTGGCCTCCCTCGAAGACGTTAGCTTCGCAAGAGATCCTTTCCAGGTTTTGTTTATTTGTCTTCTGTCCTTCTCATCCATTGATGTTTTGCTTTGCAGACGTATTCCTCTGGATCACGAAGACAAACATGTTCTCATATCTGAACTGCAATGTCCGACATATGTTGAGCGCGTCGGTTTTGCTTTAGAAGACTGTTCCAACACTCTATGAGTTGTCTGAAGAGCCGAAGTAGCCACTGTGTCATGCTGCGTTTCTGGCGCGGAACAGAGCGCAGGGAGAGCGGCGGAATGGAATAGGAGGGCTCGGAGCATTGGGTCCTTTAGTCGGTTTGTGGCTTCCTTTAGGAGCTCGAAAGCGCACCAAGCTGCTTTACCTCTTGTTTCGTTCCTTTTCAAATCGTTTTCCATGTTCATCGAACGCCCAAAAGAAGATGCCTCTGCGATGGGAAAGCTTTGTAATTCCATTCCCTGGTCCTTGCAATAAGCGTTCTTCATGAACCAAGTCTTCCTCCAGTTGATTCGCAACCCTACTTCGTTCAGTTCTTTCAACATCTTCTTCGCTTCAGTGATATACCTTGCGGAAAGCGTCTTCATGAACTGAGTCTTCTTCCGCTTGATTCGCTTCTCTACTTCTTTCAGTTCTTTCAACATCTTCTTCGCTTCAATAATATTCCTCGAGAAGAGAACAATGGTCCGCAACGATTTCGAGATGAATCTCCCATCAACTCGTATTCCTCTCTCATTCCAATCCAGCGATTTCATCACCCACTGCAAGGCAGCAGTAGACAGCTTTGGCGACACGGTGTGCCTTGTTGTCCCTTTTAAAAAGTAGTATGTTAAGGGGACACGGAAAAAGCTGAACTGAGCAGTTCTTGTAGCAGTCGGGCGATGTCCCCATGTAAGATGTCCACCCCTTGGTCGACGAGCGCTGAAAGTATGGCATCTCAACCTGTTAAACGCTTTCTCGTGATTGACGAAGATTAGGACAAAAAGTAGGCTGTACTCTCGGCAAACCTCGCTAATCCTCGAAACTGTTTAGATGTGATCCACTCTCAATTCCAGGAAATCCAGCTTGTTCTATAGATTGGGCTTCATCCAGCGTCTCTGATATGCGAGTGAGAATAATTTTCGTGAAAAGCTTGTAAAGCACGCTCAGCAGGCATATTGGACGGTAGTTCCAAAAATCGTCCCTATGGCCCTTTTTATGAAGTTGCTTGGGAAGTTCCCCACTGGTCGGGAATCCTTTTCTTTTGGAGGTAGGACGTTAGGTGTACCGCAAATATCTCGTCGGCGATGTCTTCCAACTTCTAAGAAATCGACCGAAACATGGTCCGGTCCCGGAACCGTAGCTACCTCAATGGTCTGGATTGCGGCGCGTACTTCAGCAGGTAAATTCCGTGGTGGTATTCTTCCAGTGATAACGAGGTATGACAGGGTGTTGACGAGCGGAAGAGATCGATGCACAATCTCCTCGTGATCGATTCCATCTTTTATCGAGAAGATGTGCGAGTCCCGTCTTCGTTTAGTAATGTGGTCAGTAGAATACGATAGTCGAGGAGGTCCCGGCGGTACTTCTTTAAGATTCTCCTTCTTTGTACTGCTTCTAAAAGTTTTGATTGCTGAAACTTTCGAAGACTTTCCTGCGAAGTTGTTCTGCAAATGATATTGGCCTCGAGACATGATGGAGCCGGATCCAGCCTAAATGCTCTCCTTTTCTCGAGTAGATCCTTGGTAGCCGTGGTGGCTTTTAAAATTCGTTCCAAGTTCCTTGTTCGAGGCATGGAGGCACTTTCACCACAGGCTCTGTCCTTTGAGAAGCAGGTCACAGTCCTTCATTGGGGCGATGGGCCAGTCGCAAACGGACAGGAGCTCCTCCAATCTGACATCTCATTACGACTTCCCTCCTTCCTCCAACATGTTGGTAGATCTTCTTTTCCAGCTTTCGGCTGAGTCGCACTTTTGCTCGAAGGAGACGGTAATATGAACCAGTACTGAAGGATGGTACCACTGAGACGTCCAGTAAGCACCA